GGCATATTAGCATTGTTTCTTTCCTAAATGTTTAATAGAATTCACCAGTGGTACCTATAGAACTATTTTGATTTTCTATTCCTTTTGGGATTTGATTTGAAATTTATATTTTTCTATAAACTTGATTATTTCAAATTTAATCATCAAATATTTCTAATTATTTTGCATAAAGTTTTCCATATTATCATCATATTATCTATTAACTGTTTATAAAATTTATGCTAAGGACCACTTTATTATTTCTAACTTTAATTTTTTTGGTCATGGTTATTCTTGTATGAGGGTATGAATTTAAAGTGTCTTTCCAGTTTTAAACTTTGAAGATAATTTATCTAGTATGTATGTATTTTATTTTATTAATGTTTGCCATTATTTTAATCATTTCCTTCTTCACACTATTAGGATTCTTTTTTGTTCTATTTCTAATTTCTTTATGTTCAGTTGTTCTTTTAAAAAATACATTGTTTAATTCTACACATTTTTCTCTAAATATGAATTTATTAATGTTTTAATATAATTAACTCAAAAATTATTTTTCCTCCTATTTATTTTTTGATCAATGATTTATTTTTGAAGCTCATTTTTTAATTTTTTAAACAGTATATTCTGATTAATTTTTGCTACATATTGCCAGCTGAATTGCATTGTGGTTAGAGTACATACTCAATATTCTTTTAGCGCTTTGACATTTGCTGAGACTAATGTATGGCACAATGTAAGGTGAAATTATTTCAAATCTTTCTGTGTATTTTCGATCATTGTGCATTTTGATGTTGTTGGTTATATACCAGTTAGGTCAAGTTTTCCAATCATAGTACTTGAATTTTGTATTAATATATGCTTACTCTTTACTCATTTATTGATATTTACAAAGGTATCAATTCATTTATTAATATTTATTGATGCTATTTATTAATTTGTTGACATTTATATCAGACCATCTTACACTATTCATTATGTCCCTTTTTCTATCTTCTGCATATTTAATCTATTTCTTTTTCATAGTCTTCATAATGCATATTTTCTTTGGTCTTCTCTTTCAGTTTATTAATTCAAGCTTCAGCTATGTCATGTCTGCTATAAACTCAGCCACTAAATTCGAAATTATTTTTACATTTTTTATTTTTAGAGTTTTCAATAGACTTTTTGGAGTGTCCAATTTTGTGCCAATATTTTCACTTTTGTCTCTTATTTACTTGCACATATTATGCATAATTATTTTAAAGTATGAATCTGATAACTTCAATATTTAAAGTCCTTTTTTTCCCCCCCTACTTTTTGTTATTTCTTCTGTATGCATCTCTCCCCCAACTACCATGTTTTCTGTCTTTTAGTGGTCATGGTTTATTTTGGATTGTGTACTTGACGTTTCATTTGAAAAATTGTTTTAAGATATAATTTGAGGCCTAGAATGCTGTACTCTTACTCAAAATAGTGTATTTCTTTGCGTCTTCCAGGTACTTGAGTGTACTAGCATTCCTGGACCCCTTCAATCCTAATTTCAGAGAGTGTGATTATTCAACATTGAACTAAAATTCCCATGAAGTTCTGTCTAATTCTAGTGCACCCTTACTCCTATGATAAAATAAATCAGATCCAGACTTACAACCTACAGGTTCACCATTGTCGTCTCATTTTGGAGAAACCTGGACTGAGACACCTGCACATCTAGGCCACTGAAAGTATTGAAAGCATATCCTAACCTCTTAGTTTCTTAGCTTTCCTCTTTCACCTAAGGGAAAAGTGTCCATAAATATTAGATTTATTTTCCTGGTTATCTTTCTTCCCCTGAAATCTCATGTATTAATAGTTTGCTGACATATTAACTTGATGATACTCTCAATAATTTTCTTTCTTACATTTTGTGCAGTTTTCCTAGCTATCCATTGTGTATGGACTAGTCTTAATTATTGAGTCCAGTATACATGAAACAGCACCTGCACAATTTATTTACCTACTTATTTACTTTTTTTCTGTCTCCTCCATTAGACTATAAGTCCATGAACATAGAAACTGCCTCAATCCTTTTCATTACTCGAATACTAATATCGAGCTAGCATAATTCTCCTAATATAAAATGGTGTCCAATAAGTATTTTGGGATGAATAAGTCATAAGTATATGACAATAAAAATCGGAAAATCAGGATTGGCCTTATTTCAAATTGCTTTACTTTTAATTTAGCATTTTTGGTTTCAACAAATGTATTGACTATTATATGCAAACTTTAGTTGATATAAAATCAGAAATCTTTGGTTTATATTCTTGATTATCTATTTTGAAAAAATCATTTAATTTTTCAAGTTGTCAGTTCCTTTTTCCATATTAATACTCATTTCATAGGATTTTACTGAATATCAAAAGAAAATTTGGAAAAGCCCTTCACATGGTCACAGGAAGTGGTCATTCATTTATTTCACTGATGAGTCTATGCTATGTGTAAAATATTGTGAAAGAACTAAGGTAAGTACCAGGATAGACAAGGTTTCTGCCCTCTTGTAGTTTATGTGTTACCAATAGAGACAAACAGTAAATAATTAATCACATGAGATATTACTTATTTAGATTTGTTTTGGCAGATATAAAGCAGATAAACACAGTACCATAGGAATAAATAACAAATAAACCTGACCAAATCTAGGGGGTCTACCAAAATTTTCTCAAAGCAGTGAGTTGCCTATCGCATATATAGCAAACATTTGTTAGGGGCTCATTATGTCCTAGACACTATACTATTGACCTGCTCTTTTTTGTTGTTTTGTGTTTTTTTTTTTTTTTTCTTTTTTGAGATGAAGTCTCACTCTGTCACCAGGCTAGAAAGCAGTGGTGTGATCTCAGCTCACTGCAACCTCAGCCTCCCTGGTTCAAGCAATTCTCCTGCCTCAGCCTCCCAATAGCTGAGACTACAGGCATGCGTTACCATGCCCAGCTAATTTTGGTATTTTTAGCAGATACGGGATTTCACCATTTTGGCCAGGATGATCTCGATCTCTTGACCTTGTGATCCACCCACTTTGGCTTCCCCAAGTATTGGGATTATAGACGTGAGCCACTGTGCCCAGCCTATTGACCTATTAATAATTCATTTCAGTTAATCTTCACAACGACCCAATTAACAAATAACATAAGCCAATACGTTTGGTGCTGCTGATACCTGTGCCTATTAATTTTGACATGAGGAAACTAAGGATTAGATAATTCAATTTGCCCAATTGAGAGTCTGTGGGTATTAAAGCATGTCATTAAGCTCCTGCAGATTGACTCCAAAGCCTGAGTTCATAAACAGTATACAATATCATTCAGTCTTAGAAGAGGTAAAAGAGGAATACAATAGGCAACAAGATGTATGACATGGAAGAGGACTTATAGTTAAGATGTAGACAGACAGAACAACCTCTATTTCATGGTAGAAAGTAGAATGATATAAGAATGGACAGGGAGCCATCCCAGTTGAAGCACAAACACAGAAGTCTGTGTTAGTGCACACAAGTCAGGAGAAATAGCACTCAAGTCTTTAGGGCTTGAACTCAGACTTTCTCTTATTAATGGCTTTTGAATGATTGTGAACTTCAGCCATGCCATTTTTGCTGCTATGTAGATCATGAGTAATGAGGCCAGCCTGCAAGAGAAAACCTAGATGGTATCAGGGGAGATGGAATATTCCAGTGGGAGAATTTGAAAGTATTTAGGGAGTAAATTCAATGGAACATGGTGATTGAATAAATGTGGAGGATGACAGATAAAAACAACAGTTATTTGTTTTTCCTTAAATATTTTCTATAAACATACATATGTTTTTTGAGCCAACTTTGATTTTACTTTTATTATTATTATTATTTTGGTCATCTGTTCAAGCTTTTTCAAGTTGATTGTTTTGCTGTTGATTTTTCAGCATCCTCTTCTCCTTCTGTTTCTTCCCAGTATTACTTTGGAACATTACTACCCCTTTTATTTATTAATTTAATGAAACCCCTCCCATGGTCCAGACTCCATCACAACATCCTGCCAGTTTTCTCATTTATTTTTATTTTCTTAATCCTAAAACCCAGATATTCTCATGTCATCCCTCTTTTCCCTACTTCCCACTTCTGGCATCCCTTAAAACTGCAAATGCTCCCAAGACTTTGAAGCTCTAGCCAGCTAATACCTCAAAGAAAAGTTGTCAAAGAGCTTTATTCTTCTGACATTTTAGATCCCATTCACTGACTCTGAATGGCTGCCATTTTCCCCTCCTCTCTAAACCAGAGATTTACTCAAATACTATTTTAACCAGCACCATAAGCCACAGGTTTAGAATAACCACTCTAGTGAATCAGAAGAAAGGGATCAGGCATTCTTATTTATATCACAGTGATCCGGAAATTTACCTTTAAATAAATATTTGCATTTGGGAAGAGAAAGTCTAGAAAGACAAGAGATGAAATGCTATTACCAGGTTTTCCAGTAACATGACAGATTTTTTGGAGGTGATAGTTTGGGAATACGTTCATCAACTTAACCCAGGTGATGATCCACTCAACCTAGAAATGGACAGTGATGAAATGATTGGCCCTCATTTTCTACACTGCTGGGTCATAGATAGGTTAAAATCAAATTCTGAAAGTTAATTTCCTCAACTCAATGAACCTGAGATTCTACAAAGTAGTTTAGAGCAGTCATTCTTTAAACATTTTTTTAAATCTCAATAATCAGACTCAGTTAAATCAGAATCTCTACTGGTGGGACTCAGGTATGTGTATTTTAGAACTTGCTTCTCAAACATTACTTTAGACATAAATCTTGGGATCTTTTTGAAACTGAAGATTCAGATTCAGTACTTTTGGAGTGGGGATTGAGATTTTACACTGAGTACCAAGAGAACCAGAGACTAAGTCTTAAACTTGGCTGCACATTGTAATCACTTTGGAAAATGAAAAATAAATACATAAATTTAGAAAAAATATGCCCAGATTCCATCCCCAGAGAATGACAGCAAATTACACTAATTTTGCTCATATTTACCTCTCTGATGTAGCTTGATTGACCATCCCAGAGAAGAGAGAAGAAAACGTCTGATGGTTGCAATAAAATAGGGTTCAATCAGAAAGCATGCTCTCTCTTTTTCAGATATGCAGCCTCTCCTGGTGGTGAAGAGGATTTCCCTAACAACCTCTCAAACATTTGTGGGCTCAGAAACATCGGCTTTACTCAAAACAAAAGCTCTCCCTCCATAGATTTGACAGTCAGCTCTCTGGGAACAGGGAAAAGAAAACAACCCAGCTGAGTGTTCACAGTGTAATTTTCCACAACTAAAATTGAACAAATAAAGGGTTGGGAGACATGTTTTTTCAAGTCAAATCCTGTGCTTCTTCTTTAACCTCCGCATTTCAAATGGAATTTGAATCTTTGGAGGTTAGAGTTCATTCACTTTTTGGCAGAACAGCACTTCCTGTTTCTAAGAAAAAGGCCCCAGAATACTTCTTTAATGTCAAAGGCTGTTACAAAACAGCACTTGATGAATTGGATGCAAGTGAATGAGAAACACATGGATTAAGTTTCCATTAACATCCATATGGGTTTCATAATTAAGAGAAAATGCCTGACCAAAGGAAGTGTTTTGAGTTTTACTTAACTGAAATTTTGTTTTAAAAAAAGTGCTTAAAGCTACTTATTCCGAACATGATAAGTGCCAGAGATTACTCATCCCTAACCAAAACCACCTAAGCTGTATCAGACTCATAAACTGAGACCCAAGCTTATAAACCCCATTCTCTCAAAAAACCAACAACACTCATCAGTTTCGGGAATTGTAGAGGGATGAGCCATCCTCTGATCATTGAACCATCTTAAAGAATTTATTTACTTTGTTCAATCAGGTAATTCACAGTTTCTGACTTTTTTAATGGATTTTACTTCTCTTCATTAAGCAGATTTTACTAGTTCACTCACCTGAAATCAAAGTAAAAATTGCCTCCACAATTATGTGATTGTAGAACCACCACTGCCTTAGAAGTCAGTTAAACCTCATTCAGACCTCTCCTTGGTAGGGGAGTAAAAGGCAACATTCTGCTTCATTTTTCTCATATTAATAAATGAGAAGATAAGACTAGATTAGCGTTTTACCAACTTAAATACCTTGGATTATTCAAATAGTAAAATTATTTATGTTGTATCCCGATAATAAAAGAGGGAAAAAGAAAAGAGACAGGGAGTAAAATGGACCAACAATTATTGCCAATAAGTTAAAGGTTAGGGAAGTAGCTTTGATAGAGTACTATTTTATCTCATTTCTACATATAACAACGTCTGAGAAACACTGAACTTAATGGTCAAAGAAAAGCAGTCTTGCTTCAATTTTCTATTATACTTTCCACCTATTATTTAGAAAGTTCTACCTCTAGATACAAGTATCTCCAATCAGAGACATTCAAAATTGTCTCCTCATCTATTCACCAAATTGACTTGTTCTACGCCCTTAAAAAAAAAAAAAAAAAAAACAAAACACTATCAATTGCCCTGCAAATTACCAAACTCAAAGTAGAAACACGAGCTTTTTCTTGAAAGTTTCTTTACTGCTTTCTCCACTCCCCACATCCATTCATTTATCAAATACTAAAATGTGGTCCTCAAATATTTTTTAATCCTTTCACTTTTCCCTATGCTTATCCTTTCTTAATTTGCACCTTTGCAAATCGTATGCTGGATTATTTCAAAAAATTTCTAATGAGTTCTTTTTTTCTGTTCCTCTCCTATTTATTTTCATCATTAAACCTGAAATTCTTCTCTTTAATTTTAGCATATAGTTATTAAAATATTCTAAAATATATCTAACTGAAAATAGAAAAGGGTATAGAATATTAGTAAGGTTTTATAGTCTACATTATTAGTCAGCTTTCTTTCTCATTGGCATTAGGGTCAAAACTTCATACATATGTTTTCAGATTTTTTTTCCATGCACAAGTGTGCATACACATGTGACTACATGTGTGAGTAGGTATTTCCAATATTTTTGCAGGAATATAATCATAATCGTATACATTGTCAGTCTTTTTATTTTCTTTTTTTAAAATTTTACTTGAAGTTCTGGGATACATGTGCTGAACGAGCAGGTTTGTTATATAGGTATACATGTGCCATGATAGTTTGCTGCACCTATCAACCCATCATCTAGGTTTTAAGCCCCACATGCATTAGGTACTTGTATTAATACTCTCCCTTCCCTTTTCCCCCACCCTACTACAGGCCCTGTTGTGTGATATTCCCCTCCCTGTGTCCATATGTTCTCATTGTTCAACTCCTACTTATGAGTGAGAATATGCGTTGTTTGGTTTTCTGTTCCGGTGTTAGTTCACTGAGGATGATGGTTTCCAGCTTCATCCATATCGCTGCACAGGATAGGAATGCATTCTCTTTTATGGCTGCATAGTATTCCATAGTGCATATGTGCCACATTTTCTTTATCCAGTCTATCATGTATGGGCATTTGGGTTGGTTCCAAGTCTTTGCTATTGTAAATTGTGCTGCAATAAACATATGTGTACATATGACTTTATGGTAGAATGATTTATAATCCTTTGGGTATATACCCAGTAATGGGATTCCTGGCTCAAATGGTATTTCTGGTTCTAGATCCTTGAGGAATCATCACACTGTCTTCCACAATGGTTGAATTAATTTATACTCCCACCAACAGTTTAAAAACATTCCTATTTCTCCGCGTCCTCACCAGCATCTGTTCTTTCCACACTTTTTAGTGATTGCTATTCTAACTGGTGTGAGATGGTATTTCATTGTGGTTTTGAATTACATTTCTCGGATGACCAGTGATGATGACCTTTTTTCCATATGTCTGTTTGCTGCATAAATGTCTTCTTTTGAGAAATGTCTGTTCATATCCTTCACCCATTGTTTGGTTTTTTTCCTGTAAATTTGTTTAAGTAGATTCTGGATACTAGATCTTTCTCAGATGTATAGATTGCAAAAATTTTCTCCCATTCTGTAGGTTTTCTGTTCACTATGATGATAGTTTCTTCTGTGTAAAACAAACCAGATCTTGGAAATTTGCTATATTATTATCTAAATCATTTTTTTCACAGCTTTACAATATTTCATTTTGTGAATATCCAATAGTATTTATTAATGGGCAACATTTCCAGTGCTATCTTTCCGCCTAACATATGCAACATAAATTTTTAAGCACAGTGTACCAGGACCACTCTAAAGTATCCCTGCCTTTTCTCTTTCGACATTATACTCTCTCAAGAATCCTTTTCTCTGGTCACTTTGAACTGCTTCCTAATATTACACTGCTTCCTAAATCTCACAGTTTATAACCTAGACAATCTGTTAATGCCTATCCTGTAAGAATGAATACATGATTATGTGAGTTTTCATGCAAAACAATGTTTTACTTTTGAACAAAATAAGAACCCATAGAATGGCTAGTTAGTATTAATTTTCTAATAGCCACATAACTGTTATTTGCCCAATAAATATTTGTTAAATAATATATGAAATGGATTATTATACTCTGACCTTTCACCTTGAGTGCATATGTAGTTTAAACAAGAGAATATCTATGAATTTTAGATTACCTACATATATATTAAGCATTTACATATATTTTTTTCCTAATGAATTAAAACTAAAGGAATGGTATTTCTGTCATAGTCATAAAGCTCACTACCTAAAGGTATCGTTTTTTTCCTGCTGGTTTTTTTTTTTTTCTTAATACAGGTACAGAAAGACTTGTTAAATCTTAGCCAAAACCCAAAAGTCTTCATGCTTTCTGAATCTTTGGTGTAAAAGACAACATTAAAAAGTGTCAGACAAGTCAAAATACTTCTGATTATTCTATTACTGTCTTCATTTAGTGGCATACTGGCATCTTCCTCTTCTTCCAGGAAATGTTCTCTCCCTTTAAACTTAAATATGATGGTTGGTACAACTAAAAAGAAAAAAATATATAATGAAAGACTTAGGGTAACCAATATCTTAGTGAAATACGTGTAGTGGGTTTAATGATAGTTTCTAAAAAGCCATGTCCACACCCTGTTCCTCACAAGCTGTAAATGTGGTGTTATTTGGAAAATGAACCTTTGCAGATATAAATAAAGACTTTGAGATGAGGAGATGATTCTGCATTATCCAGATTAGCCCCAAATCCAATGAAAACTAGCCTTATAAAACAAAGGCAAAGGAAGGTTTGACACAGAAGAGGAGGAGACATACAGAGGGTAAGGCCATATGAAGATGAAAACAGATTATAATTGTTATAGGCTGAATTGGGACCCCCACAAGTTCATACATGAAATTTCGAATCCCTAGTATCTCAGAATAGAACTGGTCCTGAAGTTTGGGCTTTGAAATGGACAATTGAAGTTAACTGAAGTTATTAAGGCAAGTCCTAATTTAATAGGATTGGAATCCTTATATTAATAAGAAAAGAAAATTAGTACACAGACAAATTCAATGGAAAGACCCTACAAGGAGAGGGAGAAAACAGCCATCTACAAGCCAAAGAGAGAGACCTCAGCATAAAACCAACCCTGCCAATGCACTTCTAGCCCCCAGACTGTGAGGAAATACATTTATGTTTTTAAAGCCACCTATTCTATGGTCCTTTGTGATAGCAGCCCCATCAAACATCTGGAGCCATCAGATACCAGAAGAGGCAAGGAAGGATGTTCCCCCAGGGTCATCAGAAAGAGAGTGACCCTGATGATGCCTTCATTTTGGACCTTTGGTCTGGACTCCAGAAACATGAGAGAATAAATGTTTTTCTTAAGTCATCAAGTTGTGTGTGTGTGTAATTTCTTACTGTAGGCCTAAGAAACTTATATAATAATTTTACCTTTACCAGGAAAATCCAAGCTGCCTTCACATGCCTATGTTTATTGTCTTGAGCCATGGTCCATGGAGTATGGTGAATGAAGGCCTCTGTGCTAAGTCAAGGCTAGAGAGGAATATTAGAAGTCTTGCTTAGGGCTCTTCGTCCTCAGCTTTTTACCACCAGCTTCATGATGATTGAAGAAAAATAAAGAATAGCATTAAGTATCAATGTATTTCCCTTTGGGAACTTTTAATATTGCATTGAAAATGTCCTCAGGGGCAGTTTCTTATTAGGTTTTACATTATGTCCCATTCATTCTTTGCTAATGTTTACATTTTAAGTTTTCTTTTGTAGAAAAGACTTTACTGAATGGGAGAAAATGGATTACATAGGAATGATAGTGTGTGTCTGTGTGTGTGTGTGTGTGTGTGTGTATGTGTGTGTAGAAGAGAGTATTGAAAAAATTAAGACTATCAACTTTTATCATCATACTTATCTTTTGGTTTTCACCACCCACTGTAATTTTCAAAGCAATTTGATTTCCTAAATAGTCTTGAGAAGGAAGGAGAGAAAGAGCTGCAAACCCTATTTACCCTCAATAAGACTGAAAAGAGGTAACAGAGTTGTTCATGACGTTGACCTCAGTTTTCTGATTCCCTTTCCATTTCCAAAGACAGTGTTTGAGTTTTTTATATGTTTTGTTTACATTACATGTTTAGCTATACAAAACCCTTTCAGAAATATTGTATTTGGTCCCCTTTTCATTCCCTTCAACACATCATTTTCAGAGCAGTTTTCTCAAAACAGTGTTTTGACACAGTCATCTCTAGGTGTGATACAGTCTACCTCATGTGGTTCTAGTCCTAGTTCAAATGACACTTTCCCCATTAAGTCTTCCATGGAGATCCCCTCCTCCCTTTAAATAGATTTTGCTCCACTACTTTCATTATTTGCACATTTATGTCTACATTTTATTTTCTCCAGAGCACAAGATATTTGAGAGCAGGAATCATATCTTACTCATCAAAGTTCTAGCAATAGTGTTTTCTTGATTGATTGTTTGAGGAGTAGGAGTTCAGAATATATTTTTGAGTGAATCAATTAATGGATGCATTTATTTTTCATAATATTTTCTTAAATTAGATGAGACAGAGATTTATATTTTCAAAAATAAGCCAGAAAAATTATAGGAGTAGCCCAGCGTAATTTAGTGTAATAGTTGGACTGATACCATTGATTGCTCTATTACTTTTTTTTTTTTTTTTTACAGACTGCTTATATATGAGTCATAGGTAGACCAGATGGATTTCACTGCAAAGAGGTAATAGGAGGTAATAGCTTTACAAGCATTTAAGCTATTGGCATGGTATGTTAGTGGCCGCCTCTGCTTTATGGCATCATGGAACTTCAAAAATGTTAAAGGAAAAGGCAAATTATAAGCAGATATAATATATATAACAGATGACAAGATAAATGAAGACAGCCTATGAAAGGTGAAAGGGGATATTTCTGGAGATAATAAAGTGCGATTCTGATCTTCATTTTAAGAGCAATTCGTAATTAGAAACTTTTGCTGAATATAGCAATGGCAAGAAGAACTAATATAAACCGATATACTTTATTCAATCCAAAATACTCCTGTTGTTTTATTATTTTGTCAGTGAAGAAATTATAGTACTAGCAATTTCATTCTCAAGTAAATTCATATGATTTCAGCATACAAAGATGAACCACACTCACTTATAAATTTACAAATGTGCAACACAGGAACATTTAGGATCATAATCTGTAGACTGATGCAATAGTAGATTAGCTCAGAGGAGCTTAGCCTCTCATGCTTCAGGTAAGAAGAATGAAGGCAAGGTAGTGAAGGCATGGGCTGTAGAATTAAACTTCGTCTACACATCATGGTTTTCTGGACAGTGATTTT